AATCAGTTGTATTGAAAAGTGTTATTTATTTTATTTTGAATGCTCAGATTTTCTTAAGTATGCACACATCTTCACACCCAGTCATGAAAACTGCACACGCCAGTGACCAGTAGGGTACTCCACTGGTCATTTGCACATGCAGTTGCCACAATGTGTGTCATGCTGGTAATTGAGCACACACATTCAGCACCAAATGCCCACATGGCTTTCTGAACATCAAGGCCTGTGTTTTCACAGGATTTATAGTTCCATCATGTCACAGAATGTTACACTCTGTGCTGAGGTTCACTATAACTGGAACTGTGCTTTGCACTGAAAATTTGCGATACTGTAAATGGAGCTTCACTCCATCACAGTTCACTAGCAGTAGGTTCCGCTGACTATTTTTATTTATTTATTTCTCTGGCCATATGATAAATGAGTTTGTTGTGGTTTTACCATCTGCAGACACAGGTATCAATCAATAGTCGCGTAATGGCTTGAAACCTGTCAAGAGAACTCGTTATTAAAAAGGTACATATTGCATTTAGCTATTAAAACAGAAGTTATTGATTGGATCCTATCAACTCCCAATGAATGAGCTAACTGCATCGGCGACCAAGTGAAAACACAGGCATGCAAATTAAAGGGTTGACAAATTGTGTAAGCAGGTTAAGGATCCACCGCTGCTGGTGTCCAGTCAAAAGGGAGTGTGTCTCCTTTAAAAATAAAGAGAGATCAGGAATAAATTATTCATGTTCAATAACACTTGTGCAAATATCCCAGGGCAGGATAAGGAAATAAACTAATGAGAAAACATTAGCTCCAGCGACAAAAAGTTCACTTTCTTGGGGTGGGAGAGGGAAACAATAATGAACAAACAAATCAAAAAAACTAGGTGGGTCAACAGTGGATTAAGCAGATAGGAAATTCTGGGCCCAATCCTGCAGTCCTTATCCCACTGATGTCAATGGAAGTTTTACCAGATTCAGGGTATAAAAAGAACTTTTTGTAATAGGAAAAGATTTTCCAAGTCAAAGGAAAATCTTTGTACATTTCACTAGTTTCCCTGTTCCCTTTTCTTGGCAATTCTTTGTTTGCTTGTTTCACCTTACTAGAGCTTTGCATCTCCCTTTCTCCTCTTTCCCAGAACCTGCAGTGATGCCATAACGCTGACTGGGTGACACCTAGGGTGACCAGATGTCCTGATTTTCTAGGGACAGTCCCAATTTTTGGGTCTTTTTCTTATATAGGCTCCTATTACCCCCCACCCCCTGTCCCGATTTTTCACACTTGCTGTCTGGTCACCCTAGTGACACCGAATGATAATGGGCTTAGAAGTCACACTTGCAGGATCAGGGCTTTGCTGCAGGGTCAAGTGGAGGGAGAAGGCGGACAGGGAAGGAGAAAACAACACTGTTTATAAAAATAATTAAAACAAATTAAATGCACAAGACATAATAGCAAACAGGGGAAATGAGACCAGCTAAAGAAATTGTTAAGGATATTTCTGAGGTTAGAGCTGAGGTGAAAGTTCCCTGAACAGTGCATCATACCTGAGGGATCAGACCATGGTTAACTATGGGTTAAAAATACATAAAATAGCACCCTAAGGCAAAATTTCTTTCTCTCCCCCCCCCCATCATTAAGTAGGACATTGGGAGGAAAATGATACATCACTACAGGAAACAAATGGCAGTGTGACGTGTGATTTCCCACACAACAATAGCACTGTCTGCATTCACTGATGTCTGTGCTACACACATCCCTTGCCCATTAGAAGATGTATTTCCCATACCTCACCACAAGGAAATATGGAAATTGCATCACTCAAGCCTTGTCCAGAGCTGTCAGCGCTGCCCCATAGGTAGGCAGAAGCCCTGCTTGCTTACAGCATTTTTCAAGACATGCTGAAAGCCACAGACTGTTGATATCTAAAGTAGTTCCCTGTGGAGCCTAGATCCATTAGCTCAGGAAGTAGGAAGAGGTTTATTTCTCTAGGTTTCAGAGTCCAAATGCAAGTGTGGATCCTGCAATCCTCTATCCTACAAACCTTCCATTTACTTCAGCAGGATTTGGGGGTCTACAAAGGATACAAGGAGCAGGCCCATATACTCAGCACTAATACTACATGACTGCTTAATCACACTGCACGACCCCAGCAGCCTCAGAACTTCTAAGGCCCAAGCTCAGCAAATTATTCTCTCTCATTCACAGGCCAATCCTGAGTGGTGTCAAGCACTCAAATCACAGCAGAAAAGTCAGGGGAAGTTTGGGATATTTAGCACCTCTCAGGATCACATGCTTGGTCTGGTGTATGTCCCCAACTACACTTCTACATTCCCTCCCGTAGGATGATCTGGACCCCAGGATCTAGGTGAAACTTCTTGAGGTTGGTGAAAGGAAAGCAGGGTGTTTTTTGAACTCTAAAATCTATGGGAATTTCTGGCCAGCTTACAACCAAGACATCCCAAGTCTCCATCTTGGGATAAAGCTATTTCACAAAGATATTGCAGCAAGGTTTTGGATTTCTCACTGTCAACCTAAGGAGCTTTATCCAAGTCTCTTGCCTGATGGACACCTAAAACAGTGGGGCCCACTGGTGAGAGCCAATTACCACAGCATTTAAGAGAAGACCCAGAAACAAGTCCTGGTATTTATCCTGTGGTAAATTTTAGTTGTTTGTCAGTAGTTTTATTTTGAAAAAAAATCAAAACTAGTAGTTACACTCAATCATCATTTTTATTGCTTAGGCAACCCAGTCAAACCTTTCACACAGGCCCCAAAATGATCTGAGCAGGGGTTCTGGGAGCAACCAAAGTGACAATCTCAGCCATTACTGTGTGAGCAACACCGGCAGAGCAGGGGCCTTCTCCAGACTACTATCAAGCTACCCCAAAGATGGCCTTATTTTTGTTAAGTCTTGTCGGTCAAGTATGGATTCCACAAAGCCCATAACCACGGTGATTCATGTTTGCTCCCCATTTTACCTGCCCCTCCTCGATTTATGGGAATGGGAGGGGGAATTCAAACAAACATTTGGGGTTTGACCCATCTCTCCTACAAACCCTTAGTGCTCATGAACTCATTGGCTTACCTTCTCCAGCCTCATTAACAAGTTAGTGGTGAGGATTCTCCCCACACTCCCAATGCTGTGTCATATCTGCAAAATTCCCTCTCTGCCATCATATGTAACCGCCCCCTTTGCTATTTGCTATGGGTGAGGAGGTGCTTGTGATTTGGAGGGGGACTCTATCTCATTTGAGATCCACTAATAGAGGCACCAGGCTTTTTGCAGCCATGCTAAATGAAAAATTAACCCATCAGGCAAGTGATCTCTTACCTTCCGAGCAGAATTTGCCAACATATCCAGTGGCAGAGCAGTCACAATGTGGCTCACCATCCAGAAGGAAACAAGTGCCGCCATTCTCGCAAGGGTTCTCTACACACAGCCCCTCCATGTCCAGATGGACTCCCTGGTTGCCCAGCAGCTGCGGTTCCGAGTTGCCATATTTCAGGTCCAGGATAAATCCCTGAAATGGAGGCTCACTCAGGATGCCATCAAGGGTCAAGGCAGTAGGGCGGATGTCTGACGGAACGCCACCAACAAAGAGGTCACTGACTATGTTCATGTTCTGGCGCTGTGGACGCACTTCACCAGGCTTGGCTTCACCATCCAGCACCAGCACTGTCCGGAGGCGGTCGCGGCTGACCATGAGGAAGTGCCAATTGCTGTCATTGACCTGCTTTTCTGTGACAACCGTGGTCTCAGCACAGTCCACACTGAACCGGAGCTGGATGCGCCCATCAACCAAGGACAAGCAGAGGAAGTCGCAGACACCACCATCATCAAAGTAGAGGAGCAGCCCAGCCGAGACGTTGGTCTTGAACTGAAAGCTCAGGTCGCTCCTGGTGCTGGCATCCCAGCGGAGGTAGCGGGCCCACTGGTTGGGGAGGCCCATGAACTCCAGGCCCAGGCAGAGGCCCAGTAAAGAGCCCAGCAGTAAGCTCACCTTCAGGGTGAAGCAGACAGAGTGGAGAGTGAAGCCCATTGTTGCAAAAACCTGCTCTTCCCTAGGAGAAATATAAAAGCCACAGCACTGGTGAGAAGGACCCCAGGAAAAATCACTGTAACTGATAAATTCCACAGGAGGAGAAGAAAAGCACAGAGGGAGCACGCACACGTGATCAGCCAGGAGAATTCACCTCTCCAAGGAAAGATCTCAGCTATCCGTTACGATCCAGAGGCCTTTATCCCAGAAGGAGGGGGTGCGTGGCGAGAATTCTCCAGGTGAGCCACTTTCTTGAAGGGCAGAAAACCCAAGGTGGTCTCGTTTTGGTGGAAAACACAAAAGTGACAGTTGTTGTGAGAAGAGAAAGCGAGTGCAGAGGTAAAGGCCAACTCTCAAATTCCAGATTCCTAGAAGCGATGACAACTGTGACAGTGATGGCAGTGAGGTGGTGGTGAACTCAGAAAGGATATAATCATTGGGAGAGCAAAACCAAAGTCAGTCTTCAGGGTGCATTGATGGTGATCCAACCCATAACTCCCCGCTTGGCACTGAAAGAGCTTGCAGGACCTGTAAGGACAAAGGGGTGGGGGGGTGGGGGGAGAGAGAGAGAGAGAGAGAGAGAGAGAGGTACGGGGTCACGTCCCACAGATCACCAGAACTCAAGTGTAGTTGGTAACCTGAGATTTGTATGCATTTCCTGGAGCAATATTTCCTTATTTAGAGGGCAGGATTTCATGTATGTCCCTACCTGCAGTTATCCCCTCACCTCCCAAAGTAGTAGGGCTATTTACACCATCAAACCTCTCAGGGCCTGAGTGAGAAATGCAGATGCTCAAGTCATGATCAGGCCCTATCATAGCAAATAAATAATTCTAAGAAGTTCTGATGA